TTTGTCCTATATCCTTAGTCTTTTCTGATTTGTGGTAGTTTCTCATAGACAGACAGACAGACAGACAGACAGACATACTAACAGCTAATATTACATTTTGTTTCAGATCTGGCCAAAGATAACGGTTCATTAGAAAAAGCCTCATGGAAACCTCTAGATAACTATGAAGCTCTCAGGGATCCACAGGTACTTTGACATCCCAATGAATAAGTATATTTTTAATTTTATTTTTTTACAATTTATTCACTTTATATCCTGATTGTAGCCCCTTCCCTAATCTCCTGGTCCCACCCTCCCTCCCTCTTCAACTCCATTCCTCTCCCCTTGTACACTGAAAGGGGGAGTCCCCGCCAACCGTCTGACCCTAGTTTATCAAGTCCCATCAGGACTGCCTGGATCCTCTTCCTTTGTGGCTTAGCAAGGTAGCCCCACCAGGGAGAAGTGATCTAAGAGCAGGCAACTGAGTTCATGTCGGACAGAGTCCCTGCTCCCCTTACTAGGGATTCTCCATGGAGATTGAGCTGCCTATGGGCTACATCTGAGCAGAGGGTTTGGGTCTTCTCTATGCATGGTTGGTGGAATCACTCTCTGCAGGTCTCCCTGGGCCCAGATTTTTTGGCTTTGTTGGTTTCCTTGTGGAACTCCTGTCCACTCCAGATCCTTTTATTTGCCCTCACCCCCTTCCATAAGATTCCCTGCGTTTTGCCCAAAATTTGGCTGTGAGTCTCAGCATCTACTCCAATCTCCGGCTTGTTGGAGTCTTTCAGAGGCTCTCAATAATAGGCTCTCCTCCAATGAATAAATCTTAAATTTCATTTTCAAATGAGGTAATTTTTCAAACAAGATATTTACAATATATGATTACAATATACAAAACAAAACCATCATAAAAAATAGTGTATACCTAAATCCAATATGGATAATAAATGGCTATAACTAGTCAAAAACACTCAGCACTGGCTGAGGTGTTAATGGTAGTGTTAATGGTAGAGTTGGAAGGAAGGACTTATCATAATATAGTCCTCACAGAAAGAAGAATTCTAATTCAGAGATGAATAAATAACATAAAACAATCCTGAGATACATACACACACACACACACACACTCAGCATTTACTCAGGTTACTGAAAGAGTGAAAATTTAATAACAAACATATAAGCATACATTTTTACATAATATTTATTTGTAGTTATTAATATTTTACATATGATTGGACAGAACACAAAAATTCTCAATACTTGTTTAGTATCCTTCATTATTTTATTAAAAATGATAGAGTAATGTGGAAAAGACAGGATAATGCGTTCTCATTTAGTTTTCTTATATTAACACAAAGTGTATAGTTAAAATATCAGCAATTGTTTTTTGGTCAACTTGGGCTACAGAGTGACAGCCTGTCTCAAAAAACAAAAAGTAAGAGAAGGAGGATGGAGGAGAGAAGAGAAGGAAGAGGAAAGAAGAGGAAGAAGGAGAAAGGAGGGAGAAGAAGGAGAAGGAAGATAAATGGGGGAGAAGGAAATGTTAGCAGAAAGGTTCACACATATAAGTTCAGTAGTCACAGGCTAAGGTAAGAGGATAGCCTGTAATACTCAGTGAATTACAGGTCAGCCAGGGCGACAGAGTGATGGCCTAGCTCAGCAAAATGAACGAAACATATGTGTGTTTGGATATAAACAAATATCAGCAACTGAAGTAATCAAATCTACTGTCCTGCACTACCAGTATCTTAAGGAGACATATCCTGTCATCTTTAGGGTCTTACACTGTAGACTCATTTCTACTTTATTCTAAGAATGTGCACCTTTTTTGGTATCTGGAGTCACAGTTTTAATGTTTCCTACTAAATAGCACGTTTTAGATCTCAAGTGTTTAATCACTTGAGCACTACAAAGTAAGTGTTGTTTGAAAATCATTCTTATCAGGTGTTATCCTGATTAAGGAAGCAATCATTTACATTACAGATAAGAAGTACTGTACCAGGAGAGCAAAGCATTAGAGTCACAGGTATCAGAACCATTCTGTACAAGAATGGTACTTCAGGGCAGACAGGTTTGAAATAAAGATAATTTATGGGATTTTTTTTCCCGCAATTTAATATTCTAGATTGTAAAATCTTTTAGGCTAAGAACAAAAACGAATCCAAATTCCGAAAAGTTCAATGGTACAGCCCTAAGTTCAAGTGTACTGGGCACCTCATTTATCTACAGTATAATTAAAATTTTATTCTACAGTAGAATCTTGTATCTTTTGTTATAATTTGGTAACAAATTTATATTTATAAATTAATAAGAAGAAAATCAAATAGAAAAATGTGTTTCATTAGGACAAGAGGAGCATAAAGGATTATTTGTTATAGTTCATATATATATTAGAAAGAAATTTTTAAAAGTTTTCATGATCTCACATGGGAATAGAAGACTGGACAAGGGGAATATTGTATTATTTTCCTTTCTCATGTTTACCTCTTGCTATTTCATCAAATATAAAAAATGCTGTACTTCCTACTTCCAGGTTTTAAAAAAATCCAATAGAAACTCATAGAAACTCTATTTCCTCAAATTTAATACATGGTAATATAATAGTAACCGACAATGAAATAGGACAACTACAGAAATATGCTGGAGGGAAGGTTATGTGAATGTGGTTTCTGCCTCAAAATACATTATTGCACAGAACCAATCCTTTTTCTTCTTATGGCAATGTGGAATAATATGCCTATGCGAAGAGATGAAGAGAAATGAATGAATGACCGAGGCAAGGCATGTGATAACTGATAGGACCACTCAAACAGAACTGCGTTCCTGTGTGCATAAATCTAATACAGAAAAATAAATGACTGAAGAGAAAGTAGCAAACACAACATACAAACCCTGGACAGAGGGATAATTTATAATCTCAAAGGAGAATGGAGAAAATACTGTTTCATCCAGCTACCCACAAAGGTGCAAGATGTAAAAACCCATGAATTACTAATTTCTGTAGTTCTTACAGGCTTGGAGTATGCCAGAGGCCAAGGCCACTAGGGCAGGCATGACTGCATTTTCTTCCATACAAATGCTCATGCATGCTACCCCCGAGCCACAACCCCTTCAGGACACAGAATAAGGAGTAAGGGCTCCTTCCTGAAAATCTCTGAGCCAAGGCCCCATTCCTCCTAGCAGCAGCACACTTAGAATCAACAGAACTGGAAAACAAGGTTATATTGCTTCTCCTCTAGCAGGTATCTCACTCAAAACTTCTCATTGATTGGACTTAGTAATAATATTTAATATTAATAACTTGAATTATTATTATCATTATTATCACTTTGTTTTTCAGATCATTTCCTTTACCCTAGTCTGAGAGTTTACTGTATGTGGTGATCTTGATGAGTTGAGGTATAATTGTTTCTTTTGAGACAAATGACTGTATTATAGACACTATCAATTATATAAAAAATGGGACTCACATAATTACATTCCTATTTTTTAATAATTTTGGCAGAAATGCTTGAAAAATACAAACACAGTTGTAAAGATTTCCAACTTTTTTTCTTAATAAACTCAAATTCAGCTATATGTGGCTAAAGTATTTAATTCTCAATTGGCTGTTTAACAAATATTAAATTATAGTAATTTACTAGTGAAAAAGCATGAAATATTTGGTATAGTTCAGCAAAGCTACAGCAGAGATAAGAAATGCTTACTGAATTATATTAGTTGCATCTGTACATTGAACTACTTGAAAATTAAGAATTTTTTTTTTTCAAAGAGATTAAAGGATTTATTCCTTAACTTAAAGCATGTCCTGGAGTAAATCTCTGAGGAATCTCACTACTGGGGAACAAGTTCTATTAGAGTTGCTCCTCCTAAAACCATGCCATCTGGACAGATAGACACTCATTGTGTGCTTTGAATAGATGACCCAGTGCATCAAGCCTACTACTTATTCATGAAAACATGCAAGGGGCTCTCATCCTCTTTTGCTACCCATGAGTGTTGTGAGAGAGAGATTCTGGGAGTGAAGTCGGCTGATGGTGGAAAAGGATGAGACATCCTTCACCACTTAACCTCACTTCTCTGCTGCAAAGAATAAAAGGAGCTGGTGGTAGCTGAGCCATCAAGGAAGCCCTCTGAGGAAAGAGCCACATAGAATGTGAATACAAATCAAGTAAACAGAGCAGGGACCTGCCTGAGGTGTGCTTGCAGGTTTCTTTACTGCACTAGACTAACGATGCCATATTGGCACGCATTTGCCGATGCTTGTGCTACCCAAAGCATCCTACTATGTAATGATGTTTCCTTGGTATAAAATTATACAATTTATAATGCATATTGGCTTAAGTTATTGTTCTTCCTAGAGCAAACAATAAAAATGTATCATTCAATGCTTCAGATATATTTCTAGATGTTCATTTAAAAAGAGACCTAAAACAAATTTCATACCATTTCAATGGGTTCTAAAAGTAAAAGAAATACAGGCTGTGTAGTAACTAATTTAATTAAACATTTGGGTGATGGATAAAAATCATTAAAGAAGACAGAAATGCAAACAGTAGATGCCTTCTCTAGCTAAAAAATAATAAAAGCGACATTTTATTTCTTTACATATACTTTGTAATGATGGCTCATGAGCCAAATCAAGGCATTAACTGTTTTCTATGTACAACACAGAACAGTTAAACAGAAATAGTCCAAAAACATGTGTAGCTTTAACTGGCAATAGTGTATGAAAATGATGACTCATAGATCACTTTAGCCTGGGAAAAATTTTTGTTTGGATTACTTTACACATGGTTCAGTTCATTGGTTTATTACAGGACACTCTAAGTCATCAATATTTATGATCTTTTATCTATGTACCCTCAATAATGTCTTTGCAGTTCCATCAAGATTTATATGATAGGCAAAAATACCCCCATAAAAATTAAAAAAAAATAACAACACAGCAATAAATAACTACATAGGATCTTATCCATCTTGACTGCCAGACCTCCCCTTTTGGTAGGCACACATCTTACCTGCAGCTCTTTTTCTTCTATCTTCCTTTGGAGCACTTTAAGACACTTGGTAAAGTCTGTGTAGTCTTGGTCAGGAGTTGAAATAAGATCACAGCCCTATGTGTTGAAGACAGAAAGTTGAGAAAGTAAAAATTTGAGAAAGTAAAAATTTTATAATGTGATCAAAAGTACAAGCTCTAAAAGTAAAGACAACTTATAAATAGATAAATCCTAGGAGGCCAGTACTACCCCCTCATTGGAACTAGCATCATTGTCTTTGTATCTTCTTTCTTTCACATAGAGGGACACATCAGGGATAAGGTTACAATTATGAGATGCTTATGTCAATCATTTTCCCTAAGGAAAGTATACATTTTAACCTGTAATCAGTCTTTCAGGGATACTGATGTGATAACATTCAAGATTAACATAAGGATTTTATACTAATATAAGAAATCATACCCACAGTGAAATTACCAGAGTTAAAATGAAAGTATTTCTTTAAAACTCTAATTTCTTTAAGCATCAGTTCAGTTACATGAATGGGAAAACTAAAATTAATATTGAACTAGTGATTACATTTTATACTTTGGGTAAAATCTGGTTCACTGTTTTATAAGATTCCTTTATAGCCCTGCTTCTTCATATGAGCAGCAGCAGAACGGGCTTCTGTACACATGTGTCCTGAATTATCTTTGAGATACTTTATAACATCTCACCATCTGCAAGACACTGAAGCCTATTCAAAAGGACAAAGCCAGGAGGCTGCAGTTTATCATCTTCTGTGAACTTAGATGGCTAAAGAATCTGTGTCTTTGAAAAGACATCTTCGTTCCCAATGTCATACAGAGGCAAAGGTGTATAAAATCAGACCAGGATGGGACTCAATACTTCTTAATTCAGGAATGAAACAATTCTCGGACTCTGACAAGCAGCTGAGTAAGGACAAGTTAAACATAGTCTAGCATATAGAGTTGCCATTCAAAGAGTTTTCAAGGATACAAAACACCCATACGGACTCCTAAATTATTCTAAGAACCATCCTCAGTAGATTTAAGGCTTCTTCTTTTACTTCAAGGTCTCTTTCAATGTGTCAGTCTCAACCTGTGCTTCATTCATTTATGACTTCCTCACAATGAAGTGACCAGTGAAAAAATTAACTTCTCACCATTCAGAAATATATGATGCTCTAAAAGATATATATGTCATCTTTACAAGATCAAAGACATAATTTCCTGACCCTAAAAGAACATTGAAATTTGGTATAATTACCTGGCAAGGGCATGAAGAAGTGACTCATCTAAAGCTAACAGTCTTAAAAAGAAAGACATATGCAAGTCACTTAGGGATACTAATGAAGTGACAGATAAGCCTGTCACCAATTACCACTATATGTGTTTCATTCTGTACCGTTTCTCATTGTGGTAGCCACAAAGTAAATGTCGAGTAAATATTTCCATGATGTTTTTGCAGCCTAGAAATATATTATATACTAAATATGTTAAATGTACACTAATTTATAGATTTTTATAGAGATGTGAATTAGCAATACACTTGGGCCATGCCTTCTTGCTAAATACACTACATTTGACAACTAAGATTTGTCCTTCTTTTTAAACTTTTGGCAACAGAACAACTACACAAAAGGATAAACCTGACATGATGATTCACAAGTGAGTCTACGTCCCACTTGGCTTCACACACTCATCAGACATCCACAGAGAAAGTTTCAGCTGAGCAGAACAGAATCTAGAACCACTGCAACATTTTACACATTAAAACAGGCCATAATTGACTCTTCATCCTCTGCATAGTGATATTCAGCAAGACCCACAGAGAGAGAGACACACTTTTAACTATCTGGAAGCAAAATGTCTTACATTTCTTGAATCAGCTCAATGATAATGATATGTAAATAAAAAAAAAAGCCATCTCTGCAAGTCAGATGCATAGTAATTACTCAGGGCTACTGAAGTCAAGCATCTTGAGGATAAATCACTTGAGTAAGCCAGCATAATTACTACCTACATTCTGAATATTTATCCTTGTACAGATATGTGTTGTTCGCTCCTCACATCAAAGAAATTTCTCTTTGTAACAGATGGACACCATTAAAGAAACAAAAACTGATCAAAATGCAGAGAATCAGGGAAAGCATGGTACCTAGTACCAACTGATACATACACAACACAACTCCTGTGCAGCTTCTGCTCAGGAATCACTGTACAAGAGAGGAGAAAATATTTTAAGAGGGAACAGGAAGTTTGTTAGGACATGTGTCTCCTGCCTCCTAGAAATGTCAGCAAAGCTATACCCATCAAATCTCATTAACACGTCTGCCTTATGAAGGCCCAAACAATGGCACCAACAAACATGTTAACATGGAAGAGGAAAAGCTCAAAGGCCCTCAACCTTAGACAAAAACTACGGGAAATACTGAGAGCAGGAGGAATCCCCTTCCAAGGAAGACTCTCCTCCAGTTATCCAATACCAAGTGGTCAACTCTGAAATCATATATATACAAGCAACAATATATGGACCAAACAGGTTATAGTTTGGATACTTAGGAATATATATTTTACACGTGTGTATGTACATACATTATATATAAATATGAGAACAATTCTTTAAAGAAACATAAAGTGGAGAAAGACTAAGGCATATGTATGCATGGGAGAGAAGGGGAAAATGATATAATTCTTTTATAATTTAAGAATATTTTTAAAAACTACCAGACCCAAATAAAAAACGCTACCAGACTCTAACTCATCACTTGAAATAGAACCACAAAAAAATTCCAGGTCAAGATGCCTAGGAAAGAGACTACTTACACTGAAAAGTCAGAAGATGAAACCAAGAATTTCTAGAAATCCTGCCTAAGGTATTTAATAGCGATCACACCTTGGAAATTTCATGAGTATGAAAGACTAACAATGAAGTCACTGGAACTTGAAACAGCTCTACCATCCCTGCAAGGCAGCTTTCACTTCAGAGGGAGACCTGCAAAATGAAATGCAGCTCAAATGCAGTAACAGCTAAAGATGACTTCATTGTAATTCAATAACTTAGGACAGAAGACTTGGATGATTTGAGCTGTACCTAACCTGAAAGCCTCCTTCCTGCAGTCTAGCTTCTATGATATCAGAAAGTCTGCTGCAAGCTGCAAAGTGAAGGAAACAACAGATATCCAGCTGTGATGAGTATGAACCACACCACTAACCAACATGGCAAATATGCATAAAGGTGCAATAGTGGCATTCATATTTTGCTTAGTAACCAACAGCTTTCTAGTTGTACTTTAGGCCCTTCTCAACACTAGAGAAATTATGCCCCATCCTAGCCAACCACCTGGGGTAGTGAAGTCATGGATATTCTAAGAGAATATACTATCTCCAGTTTAAGAGACCAACATAATTTTTAACTGCATTCTGAACTTTATCTTTATACCCACAGATAACTGTAGGTATCATCCCTCATCAAAGAAGTCTCTCTTTACTGAAAATGGAGACCATTACAGAAAAGCACCACTGGACATTATTCAGAGACCAACAGATCATGGGGATTCCAGCCCCAGTGTATGTATCTACAACACAGTAACTGCAACTAAAGTAGGCTCAGGGAACATCATGGAAAAGGGAATAAAAAGATGGTAAGAGCCAGAGGATCAGGAAGTCTGCTATGAGAATGTGCCTCCTAGAAATGTCTGATTGAGGAAGACCTGAACAATGACGATATCAACAGACATGCTAACATGGTAAAGAAAAAAAAAAAACCCTCAAAATATCTAATCTATAAACAAAGAGCATCAGCCAACTAATGACTACTGAGAGGGATAAATACCTTCTCCCAGTATTGAGATCCCTAATTAGCTATCCAATACAAAATGATCAATCCTGAAATCATATACATACTAACAACTACAAAAAAATGGACTCAGCAGATTGCCTTTATATATTTGCATGAGTGTCACATACACACATAAGAATAATAATCTAAGAAAAAGAGGTTGTCAATTTTAGCATGGGAAGGGTACATGGAAGGGAATTGAGGGAGAAAAAAGAAGAGAAGTGATGTAATTATATTTTAATAAAGCACGGCCTATTCTTCCAAAGGTCCTGAATTCAATTCCCAGCAACCACATGGTGGTTCATAATCATCTCTAATGAGATCTGGTGCCCTCTTCTGTCGTGTGGGCACACATACAGGCAGAATACTGTGACACTCAACCAAGGACCATCTATGGATATAACCTAGAACTTCTGCTCGGATGTGGCCCATGGTAGCTCAGTAACCAAGTAGTTTTCCAAAGTAAGGGGAACACGGACTATTTCTAACAGGATCTCAAGGGCAGGCTGTTTGACCCCCCCCCCCAGGGGAGGAGCAGTCTGTTAGGCCACAGAGGAGGACTTTGCAGCCAGCCCTGAAGATACCTGATAAAACAGGGTCAGATGAAAGGGGAGGAGGTCCTCCCCTATCAGTGGACTTGGAAAGGGGCAGGGAGGAGACCAGGGAGGGAGTGTGGGGTTGGGGAGGGAATGAGGGAGCGGGATAAAGCTGGGACACAGAGTTAACAAAATGTAACTAAAAAGAAAAAAATAATAATAAAAAAAAGATAAATAAATAAATAAATAAATCTTTAAAAAATGTTTAAAAACTAAAAAATAAAAAAGGATACAAAATTGGGAGGGGGATATGTAGGGAGATACAGAAGGATTCTGAAGTAGATACTGGGAGATGAATGTTATCAGACTACACTGTATACTGGTATGAACTTTTCAAAGAATACATGAAAATAAATATATATTTATATCTAAAATTATACATAAACATATATATATATATATATATATATATATATATATATATGTTGACTGCATTGTTTTTCAGGTCCTCTAGAAACAGAGTTATTCTAATGGAGGAGAAATAGGAGGCAGCAAAGAATAAGTTGGTACTTGTGTCTGCTATCCACCAATGCATACGTATCTACATTAGACAGGGAGATACCATGCTACACAAAAACTAACTTGACAGAGTCAGAAGCCCTAGAACACTGAATATTTTTCATTGATTTTATTTTATTTTTTACTAAAAAGTTAAAGCCTTCAGAACACTCAATA